TGTGTGGTTGGCTAGGAATGAGTATTGCTTTGAAGGTACTCTCCCTGTTGCCTCTGTGGTTAAAGCAAAGGTTGTGAAACGACTTCATATCCATCTGCTCTGTTACTCTAAACGTTCGGTTAGTCGAAAATCAAGGCGTTTTTTCAACAGATCCTGGAATGTTTTGGGAAAGTTTTCTCCGGATATTACTGTTATAACCTGGTCAGCCTAAAAATAGTTTTCTTTGTCTTCTTTTCACTTGTACTTGTGTAACGTTTATGCAAGGGAAAACGTTGTGTTCGCTTGAATATACCTATGAAGTGTTTTGATGAGTATAATCCTAGGTAGACCAGGATGATACTCYATATGTAAATRATGTTTTGATTATCTTTTTGTATTAGTGTTTATTGTAGTAATCTGTAGTGTGTAGGTCTACATGGGGGGCGGGGCTCATTACCCCGGCGTGTCTCTGGCGTCCATGTAGGACCCCCCCTTGCTAAAGACCACCATGCTGTCCCTTTTGCACATCTTGGGACACTGGTGCGAAGCTAAAACAAAAAGGGGTTAATCATCTATGGTCTASGGGCCGACTAACCTGTCCCTTAGGCTTCGGCCGAGCTTCCTGATTAGTCACTGGATAGCGGTGTCGGGGCCGAAATCTCCGGCGTAGCCGTAAATGCTTCGCGCTGCCATACTGCGCTTCGTCACTCGATGGCTGGAGGTATGGTCCTACTCAATCAATAAAGAAGAGAAAATCATTTTCAGCGAAAAACGTAAAGGGAAAAAGGAAATAGAAAGCTCCTGCAAAATCCTGGAAGCACAGGAGAAAACCGGCAAACAAGCAGCTCTACTCACATACAACACCGAGCACGGCAGGACTATAACCCGGGTCCGATGGTGAGAGGGGAGCGCTAAAATGTTTCATTTTTCATCTTTGTCCATTTTCTCCTATATAGTATCCCGAGTATTTAAAAATGCATGGATTTGAGCAGTTTACATACATTGGTTACGGTGGCACTTCTTTTTGATTTAACTATTGTCATTAATTCTCTGTAAATATGACACAATCAATGGTAGCTTCAAGCGCAGGATGTAAGGAGAGCACAAGGAAAAGCGGAAAATTACGACACCGAAAACGTGAAATCGTAAACGGRATATAGGAGAAGATGATTCTTTATTTTTTATTCATGCGCAAAGCCATCACTTCCGATGGAATTAAAGGAAAGGAAACTATGGTTGACATCAGTACTAAAAAATCATTTCAAAAACTCATGAATAATCACAAGTGATGGAGCGACCATACGCGTCACGTGCATGGACCTTTACACCCGGTAAAGTCTTCTTCATTCGTATTCTTTATATTAATGAGAATGAAATCGCTATATAAAGATTTTATCCTTATAAGTATTTTCTATTTAAAAAATACTAAAGAGGACGACTTTATCAGCGATAAAGTTGCATCCAAGTTTTGATTAAGAATTAAGACGCGATYATATGGAGCAATTTTCTTTGCAACTTGTCCATAACGGCATCGAGACTCAAATTGCAGCGTGTAATCTACAGCGCAATTTGAAAAAAATGTTACGAGACAAGTTGCATCAATTGTTGCAAGGTAGGATTATTTCCAACGATTGATTCTCCGTTGCACTGTAGGTGTGCACACTCTTGCAATTGTGTTGCAATCCTGTTGCGCGACAAGTTGCAATGGAATATTGTCAGCGTAAACGCGCCTTTGAGCAATTTTTTTTTTTTTTTTTTTTTTTGCAACTTGTTTAGAAACGGCCTAGCGACACATGGAGCATTGAAACGTCTAACCTACAGTACGATACAATGCCTTATTTTTATCATTTGTTTGGGTTGAATGTCTCGAGAAGTGGACGTCAAGGTCATCTAAATTGAATCATAAMACATCATCACTAAATTATTACACAACATTGATACACACGACAAACTGGTGGATATTCATTTCCTTTAGGTTTTTTTATTTTAAAAAATCAGTATTTTACCGATATTGTAATCATTGTAAAATTCTATTATTAACCCCAAGGTTGTTTATTGAATTATTCAAAACAGGTTGAACATCATATCCGCAGCACTAGGTACAGTTAGTTTATGTTGTTATTATGCATCGCCTGAGTGTATACCATCTAATAACAGAAATAAAAAAGACACGCGAGTGTTGTGAGAGATTTTCACCCCCCCCCCCCCCCCAACGAGTATCGGGATATTTTTAAGAACGGGATTTTTTCTTTGAGGATTCGCATTCCGTCTACGCAAGTATCCGGTGAATATGTTACTTAAAAACGCAACTTTTCGAAAAGGCAGATACGTGTGGACGAGAATTTTTTCGAAATCGGGATAAAAAAATTGTTTTTAGGAATACCCGGATACTTGTTGATGCCGAACCTTAAAGTTACTATTGGCCAAGTGCTCCCTCTGTTGAGTTTCCCTTCCTTCAGGRTTGTCTACCCGAAGATACAGAACAACACAGAACTTGAACTTATTGGTTGTATTTCACAAGGAGATAAGCTATTGACATGTCCAGTCTCACTTGAGGAGTGGTTGACGGTCATCAAACTTCTCGCTTCCACCAGGAACACAAACGATACTTTCTGCATCCCCTGTAGCGGGTACCTATCGTAGCACAACAAATGACATCAAACTTTCTATAGATCATTCTCGGTTTTTTCACATGCTTTGATACCCACCCAACTTGCTYGTATCTTCACATTACTGATATTCTGAGATTCTTGGTAAATAGATTGTCATAACATTTCCTGCCGAGTATAATCTATCGATTACAGTATTTTTATGATTCGTTTTTTGCCTATTTTGCCGCACAACAACTTGCAATCGATAGATTTTCTCTAAACTCGGCAGACAGAAATATGACAATCTATTTACCACGAATCTGAAGCTTCATGAAATCGATCTATTTTCAAGAGAACAGGAGCCGAGGACAATATTGTGAAAAATTACTGTTAGAAAATCGGCMAACGGCAAATGCGACTCAAAAATAAAATTTTCGAATACACCGTTAGAAGCCTAAATGATGATAATGGTGCCATTCAATGTAGCAGCGTGTGATATGACCAGGTTTCAGTGTAGTGAGGCGGGGTACGGCCCCTTAAACATCTGGCAATCATGGATACTAGTTTTTGTGCCAGTCATTGGCATGYAATTACTGCGCATGAGTGTAAAATGGGACCGTCACAGTAYATAGTTATGTGACCCTTCAGCCAATCACAGCGCACGATATCTGTTAATATGGACACACTGGACCCCTGCAGGCATGGGTTCCATGGCTTGAAAATCTTGAAGCCTATCGACTCTCACCTGTTCAGACTTTCTTCGCTGCGTCYTTATCCGAGGTGGTGATCTGATTCCTCCTTCGTCTGTTGACTTTAATCTCTGCATTTTAGCACGTGCTAGAATAACCTTCCCCTCTACGCCATGCCTGACGCCACGAATATCTGTCTCATCCCAGATATCTTCCTGAATCAGCTGTTCTATCAAATCTTCTAGTGTTATGATTCCGAGAAGACGCTAGGATATCAACACATATTCATTTGTTATATAGCTATTGTAAAAAAGATTRGTGAAGGTATTTGTTCCATGTTGTATACTTAGCCCGAAATGCACTATGGGTGATGTCAATTTTCCCTGTCCATATCAGTCTCGTTTGGTCTCTTCAACACAGGAATCCCAATTATTTCTGAAGAATTAATATAGAATACTCTGGTAGTSGGCGGAGGAGGCTAAATACATTCCGGGCTTAGTATCCAACATGCAAAAAAAGAATCACTAGCCTTTAAATAGCTGTATTTGTTACAGGRGGGAGGGGGTGGGTTGTCTATGGCATGAATAGAATAAATAGACATTTTACATCTTATTAGACATGTCAGGCTGGAATACGGGTGGATATTTTTCCACGTCTGCTGTATTTTGTCGAGCCCGATAGGGTGACACAAAATGCAACCGATAAAAAATGTCCACTCGTTTTCTACAGTAAAATGTCTAATAAGTTGTTTATTATCCAACTGAGCTTAGTTTTACCCAAAAAATGCTTCAAAACAAATACTATTAAAAAACTAGTTTTCAAAACCTTTTTTTTTTTTACTGTACAAAATATCGCAGGATATTTGTACTAGCTCCAGTCTTTCTCCTGCGTTACTTGTACAGTACTCTAACTCGAATACTTGGATAACTAGTATAGGAAATCGCACGATCTCGAGTACRATTCGGAATTTATAGGTACGAGTGATGTTTTGAAAGTTTTCAAAATTGGACCAGCCTTTAGGCGAATTCAATTTGAGAACTTTCAAAACATCTCGAATATCTATAAATTATGACTCGTATGAGAAGATCGTGTGATTTACTGTTTATAATACACTCGACAAAACTGAGCAACTTAATTGCGACTCTACTGGAGTACGATTTGGGATTTAATTGTACTCCTTTTAACCAATCAGAATCGAGTAATTTTATTGAGTGTATTATAAAATAMGATACTGGACGAATAAAAACGCGAGGATATAGGTTTTCCTAGTAATAATCATATCATTTTGTTGCATAAGATGAAGGTGTAGAGTCAAGCATCTTACCTTTTCTGGTGATTCCTCGAATGCTTTTCCATACACAAGACTCATGTGACCTGGGGAAGAGAAGAACCTTTCACCTGGCTAGCCTTRTTAGATCTATACTCTATTACCAAGGTTAATGCTAACACTAAATTTTATTTTGTGCTTTATAAAAGATATAGAAAACTTGTTTGCTGTGCTGTTGAAGTTATAAAGCACCTGGGAATTGGAAGAACACGGGAGAACTGTTAAGAAGCACTCCACCCTCTCGTTTTCTGCCAATCACGGCGTGGTTATGCCTTTCTTCAAACATATTTACCTATAGTTTTGTCACCTTACTTATTTCTTAATTATTGTTGTCAACCTTAGATTGCTCTCAGTTTAAGGATCAAGCTCTTATCTTCGTTTTACTTTTTGAAATTGTATCGACTGTGACTTGTGCTTCTTTTCAAATTTGTGATTTAAAAAAAATCGACTCCACATGAGTAGGAATTCTGTTACTGACTTTCATTGAACGCCTAAATGAAGAACAAGAACCCCAATTCTTCCACTTACTTTTCCCAGTTTGGAATTTATCCAACAATTCAAAGAGGGGTTCGTGCATGTTACAAGTGAGAAGTGACCCTTCTTTAGATCGGTAAACATCCTTGACGGGCGTCGCAGTTTTAGGGTCTAAACGAATCAGGGATTTGACCAATAGGAGACCAATGATCTTTTCTTTGTCTCCTTGATAGACAGGGACCCTTGAGTGCCCTGATGAGATGATCTAGAAAAACAGCAAATRTCATGAATGATTAATAATAACTAATTATATGATATAATTGTTAAAGGTTTTCCAGAAACTTTGTTTACAGTGCGTTTCATATAACTTTTGACGGTTAGTTTCCGAAGTTCGTTCGGAAGTTCCGAAGTTCGTATCGTACTTCGGAAGTTCACAACGAACTTCGTTGGTGAACTTCGAACTTCGATGTAATTATAACACGATGTAGATAGATACACAGCACATGGAAAATAGTAGGCGCTGCGCATCTAAATCGAGGAATTTCAAAATTCATTACTCGAAGGTGCACGAAACAGGGGCGGCGGAAGCTGAATATCTTTGGGATGGCACTGCAAAAAATCTTAATAACAGTATTAAAAATCGAATCTATGCACTTATATTTCATGTGAACCAATATTTTGTGGGGGGGCCAGGCCCCCCCAAAAAATTCGGTCCACCRATTACGCCGCCCCTGCGAAATAAAACGTTTATTTTCAATAAAAGATTAAGAAGAAAACGATTTAAAAGTAACCCAGGCTCGTTAGTTTGTTGTATTGCTATTGATAGGTCCTCCCTCTCTACAGTTCATGATGATGTCACATCTTATAGTATTTTGATCGCATCACTCCCCTTGGGAAAATCCTTGACCTGATTTTTCTTAAAGATTCATATGAGTATGAATAAATAATAAAAATATCAATAACCTTTTTCATAACATCGTCATCCAGTTGTTCATCACAACTTAACATGAAGACTTTATCCAGTGGGGTGTACCTATCTTTTACAGTCTTATTACGCATTTCTAAAGCTCCCTGCAGGTAAGAGGAATGGAAAGAAAACTGAGTCATATTTTAACAAAGAATTAGGGGGGGGGGGGGGGTTTCATGGCATTCAAATCAGTAGGGATAAAATACTGTAATAGATGTTTTCTCATTTGGGAAATAAAATCTCTTAAATATATGTTGGACAAAAAATTACCTAAAATCGGCAAAGCTTAAAGTAACTTTTCTATTTCAACACAGGTCAATGTTCTTTGCTATTTGTTCATTTTACTTTTTCTGAATATTACATATTTGGCAGGAAAATGACGTCAGAAGTTCAAGTTCAATCTATGACCAAAATGACTGTATCAATTAAATACCTTGAAAAAGAATGTGTGAAAAAAGGACTTAGTGTGAAAGGTACCTGGATGATTAACACCTCATCATCTCTCAAAGGCTCCTCATTACCATGTGCAAATTCCTTATGAAGATCAACCAGTTCTTTGAGCTCTAAAARAAGAAAATATTTAAAATAACAATAAAATTGCTCAATTAAAGTGTAATATACTGTAATTTGAGAAAATATAGATCTGAGTTTGATAAATATAATATGATGCATCCTGGTCTAGCTTGGGTACAAACTACACTATATATTGGATGATAGGCAAAAGATGTTTTATTAGACCACAATGCACCATGTTCACTAGCAAACGTTCAATCTTGTTGTGGCTGAACTATTACTGGTTGTCAACCCCTACCCCATTGCCAAGAGATTGTTTGTACCATATCTGGTTTTTTTTCTACAGTAAGTCCATATTACTCTTTCCAGAGAGAATAAATGATTATGATTTTAGTAAATTATAGTCATTTCAATTAAGTAATATCGGCATTTTACTTTTTGAATGAGGCCTCTGACTGGCCTTGACATGTATCCTTCTTAAAGCTTTAAGAAGAATTACTGACTATAATATAAACATAATAGGGCTAATAAGAAACCAGTATGCATACTGAAGTCATTTACTTGCAGACAGCATACAAATAACAGGATTGCATGCATGAATCTTCAGGTACCTGCTCTGCGGAAGAATGTGGAATGTTCATGTCCAAGAAGACAGTCAAGTAACTTTGAAATTGGCCATGCAATCACAAACAGCAAACACATCATAAGCTTGACAAACCTACAAAATATATATAACATCTGTAAGTATTTACAGCTAAGTTACTTTGTTTAACAGATCAAAAACAGTTTTCCGWGTTTGATACTCTGATCAAAACACGCGGGATGTTGGGAGAACAYGAGAGGAGCGTAGGAAACCAYGACGYGTAGTGGAGTGGTTTCCAGCTTCTCGAGTGTTCTCCCAACATCCCAAGTGTTTCCATCAGAGTATCAAACACAGAAAACTGTTTTTGATTTGTTTTATAAAATAACAAACTCGTGAAAAGATCCAAAAAAWGCAAATTTAAGTAAATTCTCCCTACCTGCCGTCTTGTTCAAACTGACCAATGAGCGCGCACAATAGATTAAAATCTTACAGTTGCAATACTCACGCGCGCTAAAATGAGTGTTTTGATACTCTCATCAAACATGGTTTTCGACCAATCGTAGCGCRTGTAATATGTAATATCCCAATTATTTTATAAAGTAAAATCAAAAACTATAATATGCTACTTGACTTTCCACTATTTTAATTTGTATTAGTGAAGAGATGGATAGAAGAATGGATGGGTGGAACAATGAATGAGTGAGAGGTTTGATGGACGGATGGACGGGCGAACGGACAGTGGACGGACGGACGAATGGATGGATAGATGGATGCAATTCTTCCTCAAACCCAATCCCTTAATGATAAAGCATCAATTGTAAGGAGCTATGAGCAATGCCTGTTTGTTAACATCAGACTTACGGAGCRAGTGTAGCACCAATCTTTAGACCAAATCTTGTACACAGTGCTTGTGGAACTACTCTGTAACAATAAAGGTATTGTATTCGATAAATGAAAACTAGATAGACATCAGCATATTAATTTCCAAACAATTGCTTGTAAGAAAAAATGACATTCAAGAAGCCAAGAAACTGCTAGTGCTTGCTTTACACCTCTCTTTCAGCATCATGCAACACCATTTGCATCGGTCAGTTGGTTAAGATAAGGCTGCATTGAAGGATTCTGTGGCAAGACTACCACTAAAACTATATTATAGGTAGATTATAAGAACTAAATCAAAAATTAACTTACTCTCCAAAGAATAACACTGCAGTAACCGAGACACAAATGGCAATAACAGGGTTAGAGATTCTATCCATGAATATTGGCATAGCTTCAACAGCTCCAGCATTGGCCAACAGTAATGTCACAAGTAAAAGATGATGTTTTTCTACGATGGGTAATATCTTCTTGGCAAATTTTCTCTCTTCCATTTTCCCACCTCGTTCAAGTACTCTCAAGCTAAGGATGTCCAGTGAGAGCAGTCCCATTGTTAAACCTGACATCAATCCTATGTAGCAATATCAATTGTTTTATTAATAGGATATGATTACACTTGCCTAATTGCAAGGAATCTGTCGTTAAAAAAAAAACAAATTACAAAAAAACAAATAAGGAATAGTTAACAATTTAAACTTAATCTTGGCGTTTGTGGTTTTCTTCCAGTGCTCAGCTGTGAAATAATAGCTGCCTGTCCAGTAATCTAGTCCAATGCAAGGCCATACGAGATTAATATTTTTTAACAATTTTTTTTGTTGGTATTTTTATTATGCATATCAAGAAAATTTAAATTCCTATTTGGTATTTAAGTATTTTGCTAATTTTATTTGACAACCTCCTTGCAATTAGATGTATATAGGATCATTAATTATCACTATTAACTGGCAAGTCCCTAATGTGTGACCAGTTTTGTATGGTGTTCCAATCCTGCCAAAAATCAATGTTGACATGGAACATTCAACTTCATGCATCGACACTCTAGTTCACATAGTACTGAAGTTTGGCTTCAAACCTTCATAAACTTGAGATGGAACATTTAATGTCATACCTCAGCATTGGATTTTACATTGTTCCAAAATAAAGTTCACAAACAGCAACTTTCAGCTTCAGGAACTGGAGATTGAAAAGGGGATGGGGCACCCATTGTCATATGTCAACATTAGAAYTCATAAACACCAACTTTCAACTTCAAACTTTTGTCGTAAGTCTTTGTTTGACRGTAATTGCATGTTGCGAACTTGAAAGTTGAGTTCCCAAGCACCTACCAGCTGCCCCAAAATGTATTGTATTTCATTTTGACATCAATGACAAAAGCTCTTGAGTGGTGTGGGAGGATAGGGACTCCATATAGGGGCCCAGCTACAGTCAACTCTTGTTGTAAACTGGGATTTGCATTTTGGTTTGTGTTATATCACTCTACTGTTAAAACAAGATGAATTTAAATAATTCCACTGATGCGGAACTGAAGAAAATATAATTTTATATAATAATTTTAAAAAAATTGTAATAGGAGTGCACTTGCTTGCAGTCCAGAAAGGAAACATAATTATTTTACTGTCTCCTCTCTTGGTTGCTCAGTTACACACTCTGCATCTATCAATCTCTCAGTGTATTTTTTGCTATTTCCTATGATTTTTCCAATCCAAAAAAAGGCATTAATGATAGACGAGATGTGGCAGGATAATGTTTTGAAAATTGCAGGCAAAACTTGAATGTTGATATGTGAAGTTGAATGTTGGAGGACGATGTCTTGAATGTTGAATGTTGGAGGACAATGTTTTGAAAGTTGCAAGCAAAACTTGAATGTTGATGCATGAAGGTGAATGTTCCATATCAAAATTGATTTTTGGCAGGTTAGAACGCCATAGTTTTCAAGCTGTGTGCATACTTCTTTAYGTAAATGATAGCTAAATCTAGAGAATTTCAAACCTATGTGATTATGGCACTAAATTTGATATGATATTGTTTAGTTCCAGAAATTATCCATACCACTTCCAAAGAGGAATTTGGAATTTCCGAAGGGGTGGGGTCAGAGAAAGAACGAAATTACAGAGTTTGTATGGAAGAAAATTAGAATGTGCRGGGTGGGGTCTTTAAAAAATTCTGATAAATAATTTTAAAATAATTTCTGGAACAACACATTAATAATACAGCTCTCTAAGATGATTTTAGACATGATAATATACACTTCATTCTATACTCTCCGGGTATACTAAATCTTGGAACTTTGCAAAACTAATATAATAAAACATTTGGTATTAACCATAAACATAGAGGTTGAGTATAAATAACTACAATGAGTCTTTTTATTAGCATGGAATATGCTTCAGGATCTCCAGTTCAATATGATTTGTACAGCACAGCCGAAATTACAATACCAAAAAACAAATACAAGCTTTACAATCTACACTGACTTACCAGCAAAAAGTACGAGTAAGACGTATACACCAAGGTATATCCAAAACAGGTTATCCTTGTAGTTTAAAGGCTGTTCTTCAAGGACATATTTGGTTCCATTACAGAGCACTTCACCGTGTTCYTGCATGATACAGGAAACTGAAGCCATTTTGAACCAACTAAACAGTMACGAAGAATGACAATAACTAGAAAACAGCAGGCATTCCAAGCAATAGGTGAGAGACTAGGGTGAGGACAAAATACTTTTGAGGGGGGTAGGGTTAGCAGATTCAAGTGTAACTATTTACCAAAAAAATCCGTAATATCACATTTGATTCATAAATTCATATTAATTTTCTTTTAATTTTCTTATCTTTTCGATTTCAAATTTTCATTGGAAAAAAATGGAGTAATTTTTAGTAGGTGTGGGTTGCCTGTGGTTTTTGTGCTCAAATCCATAATGGCGGACGAAGTGTATTAAAATGGTTAATGGCCACAACTTGATAGTTTTTTATATGTGTAAATATGACTTCATACGGACAAATCGTGATAGGACCGCCTGGTTGTGGCAAGAGTACATATTGTGCTGGAATGCTGGAGTTTCTTACTAGAATGGGACGTAAAGTTGCAGTGGTGAACTTAGATCCTGCTAATGAAAGCTTGCCTTATGACTGCAAGATAGATATATCTACCCTGATATCACTGAGCGATGTGATGGATAACTTGAAACTTGGACCTAATGGAGGCCTTATTTATTGCATGGAGTATTTAGAAAAGAACTTAGATTGGTTGGAAAAAGAACTTAAAAAACTCAAGGGATATTATTTTTTGTTTGATTGTCCAGGGCAGGTTGAACTGTACACTCATCATAATTCAGTGAGAAATATGGTAAAACAAYTAGAAAAATGGGACTTTAGGGTAAGTGGGACACTATCAAATGGTGTGTGTAATGTCATATGTCATCCCTTTCCCGCAATCTCATCACGAACCTGACAGTCCCCACCTCCGCAATGAAAAAAAAAAGATTTGCTTTAGAGGTAAAAAGTGACTTCCTGGAATTTTGTATTTGTAAAGTATATATCTAAAGTATATCAAACAAACCAAGCGAAAAGTTTTATCAATACCCTGAACCAGCCTTTATGAGCAGATAAGAGTCAGGGCACAGCTCAGTCACAGTTCAAARTAAGTATGTTGGGTTTTTTTCATCTGGTGCTACAGCACCCATATTTCCTTGATTGAGTCATACACTGAGTTATAGAGACAATTTATTACAAAACATTCTTTTCCCCCTTTTTTTAGGTTGTTGCTGTTCATCTAGTAGATTCTCATTATTGTAGTGATCCTGGGAAATTCATCTCAGTCTTGTTGACATCACTCAACACRATGCTTAAAATTGAGCTTCCTCATGTGAATGTTCTTTCCAAAATTGACCTCATTGAACAATATGGAAAACTAGGTAAGTTGTGCTTAGGGCTGGACTTCATCAAAGTGTGCTCATTCATTTTCTTTATTTCATGCAACTTTGCTAATTAATYCCAACTAAAACTTGAAAATGGGGTTAGATTCCTCTGAAGGCAATGTTTTGGACAGGGTTTTGGTGTTAAATGTTACCAAAAGATGCTATTCCTACACAGGATCCTATCCAGGATGCTATTCCTAAGCATATAGAATTACTAAAGGATCTTTACAGGATTTTGCAGGATCCTACAGGATCTTACAGGATTCTGTCTAAGATTTGCACCAGGGATAGGTGAGAACCAATCAAATTGTAATAATAATAATAATAATAAATCACATTTATAAAGCGCAGATTAGCACAAGATGTTCATCTGCGCTGAATACAGAAACAATACACAATAACTAGAAATATAAAAGCTAAGTTAATCAATGGGAATTGCAAAAATAACTTAAATAAAGGCTTTTCTATAAAAATATGTAGAATAAATTTGAAAWCAACGCCAAGCTAATGTTGAGCCCATCAGAAACCTGGAATGCACAAGAATGGTAATTTGACCCTAATGTTACATGTACACAACTAGATAGCCATCATCATTTTCTTGTGGAAATAAAAGTATATGTTGAAAGGCTATTGTTTTCTGCTGGTTCCTGATTGGTTCGACTACCCAATGTTGGGATTTATTGACTTCATTATTAATTTTGGTTGGTTCTTGCTGTCATRCTGTAAAATGGCTGGCACATTATTATTAAGATGGCTGTGATGTTGATAAACCAATTATTTATGTCCATTAACTTATACTGTATGCTGTAATATGACTGTCTTTATCCATGCTGATTAGTATTGTTGTTGGTTTTTAGCGTATAATTTAGAGTATTATACAGAAGTCATGGACCTTAATTATCTAATCGACCAGTTAAAAGGTGATGCTTTCACCAGCAAATACAAGAAATTAAATGATGCTCTGGTTGGTTTAGTTCAAGACTATTCTCTTGTGTCATTCCTGACTCTCAATATTCAGGTGAGGAAAAATTGATCATTTCTGACAAATAAAACAATGCARTATGCTAGCTGTATCAGTTGTGTAAGTCAACAAAACCTCTTGCATTCAGAAAGGAACTGGAACTCCCATAGGGCTGCAGAAGGTGTATTCTTTATTTTCAGAAAAAATATCCATACCCACATGAAGAAGGATTGGAATTTTCGAGGGATGGGAAGGGTTTATAGTGTAGTTCAAGAACATATCTCCATAACTGTATGGCTGAGCCCCTCCTCCATTGCCTATGTGAAGAAAGCTTAGAAGAACATATTGTGTACAGCAACACTTATTAATCAACCACTCTTAGTAACAATTGCTCCTGTGCATGTCAAACTGCTTGTTCTCACAATAAATTGTTTATTTTTCAGGACAAAGAAAGTATGTTTAATGTTATGAAGGCTATTGACAAGGCTAATGGTTATGTGTTTGGTGCAAAATATAAGGAAAGTAACTTTTCTGCCCTGATGTCATCAGCTGTGGGTGCAGACTTTGAGTTCTTCAAATATCCTTTGATCACTACTATGTATACTGTACTTCACTTCACTAAACCATTGCACACCCGACCCCCATGTGATGAAGAGTGTGACAACACAACCACTGCACACCCCACCCCTGTGATGAAGAG